TATTATTATTATTATTATTATTATTATTATTATTATTATTATTATTAAAAGGAAACATTTGCAATTGAAACTTTAAAGTCAGTTTTTTTTAAAAAACAAAAATTTCCACTCCCTGCCATAAATCAGTTCGCTTGATTTATGAACTCCGGATGCTAAAATGCCTGGTGGATGTTTTTCTTTGCTTCCCCTTCAAATATTCTCCGGAAAAAAAAAAAGTGTGTCTCTCTCGCCCACCCACTTCCCTTCCTGGCCGCCTGCCTCCTCCGTCTCCCGCTGTTTTAAAAAGTTTGCAAAATCTTGAGCCTTCCTCTCAGACGTATCCTTTCATTGCCGGATTGGCAGGTTATCAAATCTACTTTAATTCTGCCCCTTTCCACTTGTTTTTTTCTTTTTCTTTTTCTTTTTCTTCCTTCCCTTGCAGAATTTAGCAAAATGCTGCTTTGGCAAACTCCCAAGCTGGTTGTTAGCATGAGATCCTCTTCCTCTTCCTCCTCCTCCTCCTCCGCGAAGGTGTCTGTTGTGGCTCCCACAAATGATGTGTTGATCTCATTAACTCCATGACAACAAAGCAGCAATAGATTAATTACAGACCCTTTTTACCTCTCTTTCCCCTCCCTGGAGGCTCTTCCTGTTTTCTAGGCTGGCTTTGTTTGCTTGGAAACAATTTATTTTTCCCTCCCTCCCAACTCCAGGCCAGTTTTAACAGAGAATGGGCGCGTTCTCCCAGGAGGAGACAGAAAGAATGGTGTTTAAAAGCCTTATTTTTTTTGCAAAGAGAGAGAAAGGGGTGAGGAAATAGTTGGATCTGGCTTCCCCGTTGACTTTCCTTGTCAGAAGGTCTCACAAGGGAGTTTTAACAGCTCCGGCGAAGGTCTTAAAAAGTTTTTATAAGCTTTTAAGGCATCAGTTTTGCTCCTGAAGCTGTCCACTTCCTCTCTCCCAAATGGAAAATACGGGGCCGTATTTCTTCTAATCATACTCTACAGTAGTTCTCAACATACAGCCATTTCTTTCGTGACCAGTTACAACAGCCCTGGGGGTGGGGGGGTGACTTAAAGGTGGTCCTTACAACCAACACAGCATTACACAATCAATATTTGGGTGGCTGGCAACTGGCAAGCAGAGTCCGCCTTCGCTTGACAAACCACGCGCTTCCTTTAACCAACTGCCGGTGATTTTGCTGAACCACCTTGGCAAAGGAAGGCTGCAAAAAAACCACGAAAGAGGCGAGCGCGGCTCACTTAACGGCCGCCTCGCTTAGCAACGGAAAGCCCCCTCGCAATTGTGGCTGTAAGTCGAGGACCGCCTGTACAGCAGGGAGAAGTCCACGGAAGGGCTTGCCTCTGGAAGTTTGTGGGTGCTTCTTCACTGGAGGTTTTTAAGAAGAGATTGTGCAGAATGGGATAGGGTCTCCTGCTGGAGCGGGGGGGGGGGCAGACTAGAGGACCTCCGGGGTCCCTTCCAACCTCTGTTGTTTTCTGATTCTGCTGTTGGGTAAAAGTTTGCCCACCTGCCGCTTACTCCTCCCTCCCTGCCAACCGGAATGCCTGGCTTCTCCCCTTGCCCAAGCGGAAGCTGACTCTCTCGGTTTTTTTTCTTCCTCTTCCTCCTCCTCCTCCTCCTCCTCCTCCTCCTCCTCCTCCTCCTCCTC